TTCTGTGCTTTTTAAAACAACAATATCAAACATTTACCCTTTCCTCCTTCTCAAATGCAAGGATTTGATGCTTTTCCTTGTTAATATAATAGAAAAGTGATTATAAAGAGTTTTGCACCGTTGGCTGGGAAAAAAATGAGCAATCTGAAAATGTCACCTTGGGCTCTGAGAAGTTATAATGTGCTTCCATATCCCAAATTACACCTTCCACATCTGAGTGGCCACGAGGATTTGCGTGATGAAAATTTCGTCATCTACCCATATCACCGAGGGTTTGCATAGACTGTGTAAAGCCGAGTTATGCCAGTACAAGTTATGAATTCTTCTAAAGTAAATCTGGCCCTTAACTTGTAAATTCCTTCTTCCTAGTAAATTACAAGGTCACCACCTTGAGCACACCTGTCACGATGATTGTAGGTATACATTACCACACACTCACGGACAAGCTAATGTGTACAGACAGGTTCTTGTATAGAGTATGCTACAGATATATCAACAGAGAACAGTTAATGCACAACGATCACCCCGTGTCATACAGGAGAGATTGTGTGCAATCGGGGAATTCTGTCCAGAAGCAGAGAAAGAACATGCATGAATGAATGAATAGCAATGTGGGATACAGGAAGTGAGCGGAAGCACGAGGAGGGGAACAACAATGACTTCAGTAATGGCTGAAGATTCCTGTTTAGACAGAGTATGGGCTGTCTGGGATAAAGGGATGTGTGTGTGTGTGTGTGTGTGTGTGTGCGCAAAACAGAAAATATAACTAATCCTACTGTCTCACTGCCATGTCAGCACTCTCATTCTTTCTCTCCATCATACAGCCCACCTCAGGCTCTTCTCATCCTCTCTCTTTTAAGATGTGGCCTTTCTACTCTCTGCTTCCTTCTAGGCCACTTAGGATTTGTCTGGCAGACTGCCCTACCTCACTGTGCACACAAACTAAAGGTATACACACACACACACACACACACACACACGAAAACACCATGTGCAAGCCATACTCTCTCGCATTCCACCTAATAAACCATATATGTGGCTTACCACCCTCCTTATCTGCCCATTTAGCCCCTTCACTGCAATCCCTTGTGCTATTTTTGGCCCATTGTGTTTGGAATGATGTGATGATGGAAGGAAACCATGCCATTAACACACAGAGGAAGGGGGACCACATGGGTGCAAAGAAGGCAAGGAGGAAGTCACATCTGCAAAAGGAAGAGTTCTCTGTTCTTGGCGAGTAGTAAATTTAAGCAAATCTGCTGAAACCATAAGGGCTGAAAATCACAGAGAAAGAATGGTGCTCACAACTGTAGCAATACCAAAATACAAACACGTATATCACATGTGAAAACATCTGCAACACATCATTTGTGAAACTTAACTAATAGTTAAAATTAGATTATTTTACCAGAGGTTTCTCCTTTAAAACTAGGAAAGATATTATACAACTCACAACACAATTTGCACTCCATTATGGATTTATCCTCACGCTACCCTCAAACTACTGGATGCCATTCATGATAGAGTGCTATTTGATTCATTACTGAAGACAATTATCACACTCGCCACTGTGAGTTACATGAAAAGGCTAGATGGTCATCACGAACATCTGGAGGGCATTCTACATCTGTGTTTTCATTCCACAATAAATGTTGCCTAAACATTTAAAATCCTTATTTAAGTTTGTGAATAACCATGACACTAGATCACAGTTCAGGTTTGCTTTAAAAGTTCTTCATATCAACTCTGAACCGGGGAAGACACCACTCACTGCTATAATTAAGCTGAAGTTAGACACACTCACTCCTTTGTGGGAATTCAAAGCTTATTAACAGTAGTACTTTAATAATATTTCTGACTGTGCGTGTGATGACTGCTTTGTGTCACTTGACTCATCTTGATGTCACATTGTATAAACACAATCTGTTCTCAAGTCTCCCTTGTCAAAGAGTTAATGAGACTTCCCTAATTTAGAAAAGCTAAGTAGATATCTCTTATGCCTGAAGGTGAAAGACAATACGTTTAAACATGAAAAATCTTTTTTTAAAGCAACAAGTGGTGGTATAATGCAGTGATGGTAGCATAGCTGGTCATGTTGACAACAAACAAGGTGGTTAACGAATGTTTGATGTATCACCAGTAAACTTTATTGTCAGGAGGAACTCTCGTAGGTTGTGTATAATAAAGTTTGTTTGTCCTATCACTCTGAAAGGTGATATTGAGAAAGTAACTCTCTAATCTGACTTTCCCGGCTACCCACTCATCAGTTTTAATTGTGAAAAAGAGTACATTTACAGTCTCCTTTTATTAATATGGTAAACACAAATATAAGAGCTCAGCTAATCTTAAATGGCAACAGTCTCATTTCGAGGATGTTCTGTCTGAGATTTAACCACAGAGATACCAGAGCGGACTCTCACTAGGGGATGGGGCAGTCTCTGACAGCGAAGTACACATTCTGGAGAGTCATTCAACATGGAGTGTTTGGACAGCTGACTGGCACAGCTCTCATTCACAGCAGTCAAGTGACCAGGAACAGGACAGGCTGCCGGAAGCAAAGGGTTAGGCAAAAAAATTTAAACTTTGCCTAAGATTACCTCTCTACCGCTACAGCCCCCCCAAAACAAAACGGCCAATCTTATAGACAACAGTAATTGAACACCGCCATGAGCCTGAATACAAACGTTTTCTGTGTACAACAACTAGAACATGTTTTGAAAATGGTGAGAATGACTCAATGCCTGAGGCAAAGTACACGCTGAAACACCCACGCTAGGCAGCATCAAGAGAAGCCATCTATAACTGCAGGGAGAAATGATGTGGGACATCAAAGAGGCTCATATCCATCCATCCATCGTCAACCGCTTATCCTGTGTACAGGGTCGCAGGAAGAGGCTCATATGTTTAATTTAAAAAAAGAAGAAAGAAAAGCTGTGTTACATCATCTCATTTTCAGACAAGAAACGACACAAACACAGAAAGGCAAGGAACCAGTGCAATTCAGGTTTGCCTGTTTCCCGTAATTGGAAACCAAATCAACGGGTTATGTATTGAACTAATACGGAACGTGCTTTGTTCTGTATTTTTGAGAATCAATTAACTATGGGAGAGAAATATCACATGTTAGACCATTAAGACAGGGAGATTTGTATGAGATAGAAGGAAACCCTCCTGCTCTGTTATCCCTCAGCTTGTCTGTCATGTTATGTTCCCCTACTCAAACAGAGGATGAGCTTCTGATTGGTCATGATTGGCAGTGTCAGAACGAAGGGACTGAAGTGAGTGGGCTGCGAAAAACTGTGAGGAGACAATTGTTTTCATAAAATAAAACTGATTTAACCATGCAATAGTCTCAGAAAGGCTAAATAAAAACAACATAAGGCTACTGTTTAAAAATCAGAGAACACATTTATTAAATCAGAGCACTTGCATAAGAACACAGCTCTAGCAGAGCACAAAATCATTTTTGAATTTATGAAAATTTCTGTCACAATCAGCGGGAGGTGCATAGAAACAGCTGTTTGCAGCTTGCAACTCTGTCTCATCAGTTAAGCCTTCAGATAAACTAATGCTAATGGTATAAATCAATACTCTATCTTTCACTGCAAGACATAAAAAGAGATCTTCATTACTGCTCGCACCCTTTTATCGCCAGAACATTAACATTTAACACATTTTGTAGTCCAAAGTGAAGTGAACCTTGGATTAAACAAACAGGATTGCTGTCAATGTTGCTCAATGCACTGCAACTTAAGAACACAGGTGCGAAATAGATAAAAACACAAAAAGAGAAGAAAACATATTTGACAACACGTAGGCAGCACATACGAAAGAAGTGCTGCGAATAAACCAAGCACAGTCAAATTAAGAAGCACATTCTCCAATTTGTCAACACCAACTAAAATAAAACTCACACTACTATAAAAATGACAAATATGTAGTACAGATAAAAAAGTTTTGTTTGTTTCCAACTTGTAGAAAACTTCTAGTCAATGGTATCAATTATGTGAAATTCAACACAAGGGTCTGCTTTCAATATCCTCTGTTTTGGCTACAGACCTACCAGTTTGTATCAACAGGTGTGGCAGACAGAAAAGAAGTCAACACCACTTGACCTTTGGTAATCATACATGCACTTTCATCAAGCCACGGACCTGTGTTGGAACGCTCTAGTAGTGGCACTCATTGGACTCTACTGAAAGGAAAACACTTCATCAAGCTGATAAGCTCCACAGTAATCACCAACATGAACCCTTGGCTTGGAATCTTTCTAAAAGCTGTAATTATTTACACTCTGCTGATAATAAGCCAGTAAGGCCCACAACCCTCCCCCGCATAGATTGGTTTAACCCCGTTAAGCCTGCCCTTGCATACGACTGAAACACGGACACACTTGTGCCTGATGCCAAACGTTTGAGAGGACATTTAAATTTATATATGTATTTGTAAATATATGTTTCAGATGTTCATATGAAAGACCTCAATGTTTCTGCAGGAAAGTGAAAAGGCAATGAATAGCGTGATTATGAGTGCTGCAGACTGGCTGGCGCTTTAAACTGACGGGGTCATACTGAATTATCCCTAACTGTTGGATGGAAACAGTGTCGAGATGAGCAATGAACTGTGAGGTGAGATCAGGGCTGACTGCAGATCTGCCATGCTGTCAAACTGTGAAAACGCATACATCAATGGAACAGCAACACTTCAAAACAACACAAAGGAGTTTAGAAGGGACTAATGATTACAATAAGGTATCCCTTGTTTAAAACACGCTGCCTGTTAATATCAATCTACAAGATAGAAACAGAATGGGGTCCGAAGTGAACTGCAACACCTGCTGTCCTACGCCAGGGTGCTGGCTGGACCCACGTCAGCTTGATGCCTCCTGGGTTGTTGTTAGTTGTTTTTTTTAACCAGGCCTTTCAACTGTCGCTTCTTCTAAAGGCCAATCACACCTTATATTTGTGTGGCAGCCGTGGTGAGAGAGGTGTCCAACCTACCTTTGCCATTCTGCCACGCTGTGTACCAGGACAGGCTGAGGAAAGACGTGAAGAAAATAATCGCAGTGGCCACAGTTCCATTTCTGAGCCTCATCTCATTTCAGCGATGCCTCCCCTCGGCTGAGTGTCGGGGACCCCGGAGCTGCCGTTGCCTCCCTCCCTCCTCTCTCTCTCTCAGCCTTCAGGGTGTTGAGACGGGTGAAGGCGCAGGCTTTTGGGGGAGTCAAACGGTTAAAAACGCTCTCGCCGAAAGGACTGTGAACACGGGCTTCTGCGCTGAGAGTGCTCGATCGCACAGTCTCGGTGGGTCTTTCCTTGTCGTTGTTTTGATGTAACTAGGTCCTCCTGTACCGTCTTACTGCGATCAGTCACGAGTCAAATGCCGTCCGTCACAACACCGCTTACATAGTGGGTTAAGATGAAAGAAGCTAGCTGCCGATACAATCCATTGAATTTGTTACAGCCAGACGTTAGCTACAAGTTACAAGTGGAAGGCATTTCGAGTGTGTGACGGTTGGTCCTCTGAGATTGGCTGGTCGGTCTCTGACGGTGGCCGAAAGGCAACGCCTCAAATGTCGTTGATTCCCCTTCAGCTGGCAACAGATACATTTTTTTTTAAAAAGCACCTTGTTGCTTACTAACCTCCAACCTCCCGTTATCGTTTCAACGTAGCCACTAAAGCCGCTTTCAGATATGGAACACGTAACGTTGCTGGCTTCTTCTATCTGTTAAAGTGATGGGATTTTGACAGTCATTTACTGGTAACTTTAATGTTCCTTACCGCTTCATTCAGACTTAACCGCACACTATTACGGAATGAGCTGTGAAATCGCGCGATATTTGGCACCAGGTGCACGAGAGGGAGCGAGACGTAGAGGAAGAGAGCGGTGACTTTAAAAAGTAGTTCTAGTGAAGAAGTGTTTTCTGTACTGACATGCTTTAAAACAATGGATTAGTGGATAGATTATGGATTTTATTGAGTCTTCAAGACATTGAATTTATAACTTCATTAGTACACTTCATCATGCAAAGCCCAAAACGCTTAATGAAACATTATCTGAATACCAGTAACAATAGGTAATACCCTATGGTAATACCTTAATATCAATCAATAATAAAGTGTTTTGTTTTTAATCCCATACTATAAAGTATTTATATATCTATTGTGTTTTGTTTTTAATGCCATATGTTAAATGTATCTATTGTTATTAGTAGTATTTTCTTTGATAATCGATTTATTATTTTTGTAGATTTATTATTTTGTAGTTGTATTATTGTTAAATATGGCTTTTAGGGTATAAAGGGGTAGGAGTAAATAGGGGTGTACCTTAGAGAATAAAGATATCAATCAATCAATCAATCATTTTGTTTTTAATGCCATCCAGTTGGGTATATTTTATATAATGGCATACTGTAAAGTTTTTTTTATGTAGGACTATTTTGTTTTGTTTTAATGCAATACTGTAAAGCACTTTGAGTTGCATGTCATATATGAAAGGTGCTACACATATAAAAGGTATACCGGTAGTTATTATTATTATTAAGGACCATCGTGAGCGCTAATGACCATTTTTCACACCAGCTTAACCATTCAATGTTATCAGAAAGCAAATTCTATTGCCTGTCTTACAATATCCGACAGTGTACAAGTATTGAGTGACAGGTTGTTAAATTGGGACTCTTGTGTAATTCCTATTAGCTCACATGCTGTATGCAGTGGTGGAATATAACTAAGAACATTTACTTAAGAAAAGTACTTAAGTACCCATAGTGGGTTTAAATCAAGGGCAGTTAAATGTAAATGTAAATGCTCCGTACTTGTATAGCGCCTTTCTAGTCTTTTCGACCACTCAAAGCGCTTTTACACTACATCTGCATTCACCAGTCATACACATTCATACACTGAGCCTAAGTGCTCAAACGGAAACTAGCATTCACACTCATTCATACGCTGGCGGAACAGCCGCCAGGAGCAAATCGGGGTTCAGTATCTTGCCCAAGGACACTTCGACACGCAACCAGGGGGAGCCAGGGATTGAACTGCCGACCTTCCGATTAACGGCCAACCCGCTCTACCTCCTGAGCCACAGCCGCCCCAGTTGGACTTGGCTGAAGTTACTCAAAGATATTTTACCTCTCATCCAACAGGCTTCTTCAGTTCTGACTGACTGGCGGGGAATCCCAGCAAGGTGATGGATATCACTTCGTTCGTTGTTATGGTTGTTGGAGTCACCTGAGGCCAAGTCTGATCTGAGGTCAAATGTGAGTGTTTGTTCAGTCTCCTGGGAAGGGATGAAAGGACAGCATTATAGGTGAGGATAAGTGGTGTGGCAGACCTCATCCCCTGTTGAGAGATGGATTCTCTACTCTGGTGTAAATTGTACTTAAGTATAATATTAGCCTAGAGTACTTTACTTGAGTTGCCGTGTAAACTAAAGATCAGTCTCTGTCTAGGTTGGATGATATTAAGCCAACACAATATCCTTTGGTCTTATGAACCTTTTATTGCAATACCAAAAGTTACATACATACAGATCTCAGCGTGATGTATACTGAGACTCCAAGCAGAACATTACACAATAATTCATACTTAGAACCACACTTGTGACAGCTATGCTTCTCAGTTCTGTTTGTACTGATAAACATCTCTTTGTCTAGACATGGTGTCACTTCACCTACACTGAAATGTATCCTGGACACTTATAAAATATATATATATAAAAGAGAGGAAACACATATCAAATGCAGATACCTCCATGCACCAGAACTCACTGAATAGTTTGGTGAGTATGAAATGATGGTACAGCCTTTACAGTCATGGAAGATTTTGGACCAACGTGCAAGACAATGCTCTTCACAGCCATCTTCACAAGACCAAATTATATAGAACTTTCTTCTTCAAATCCATTTAGTAATGTCTGATACTATGTCCTTTTGTTTTTTGTCTGGCTATGGTATTTTTTCTCTGCTGTACTCAGTTCTCTCTTGCAAAAGAGATCTTGATCTCAATCACATTACCCGATTAAGTAAATTTTGTATATATGTAAATGAGGGAATATCTTGTGGAGGAATGGGGTTCATCCCTCCAATTATAGAGTTCCACAGACTTGGCATTACAACCTTGGTGATGTTAACATTAATGCATCCATAGTTATCATCCAATGATATAATATATATTATTCTGAAATATGCCATTCTGCATGATGAGTACTTTTACTTTTGTTACTTTAAGCACATTTTGATAACACTAAATATGTACCTTTATTTAAGTAAGATTTTGAATGCAGGACTTTAACTTGTAACACAGTATTTGTGAACTGTGGTATTGCTACTTTCACTTAAGTGAAAGATCTGAGTACTTCTTCCACCACCGCCTGTAGATGTTTAACTCCATTCGCTCATATTTTTTATATAGGCTACTGATGTCTTTACATTGTCAATTATCTTACCTATTAAGCTGACGCTGTGCATAAGAGACACTGAATGAGATAGTAAAGTTGTTACAGTGAACTTCGAAGGTGGTATGCCTACAAGATGTGCATTATCTATCTCTGTATGTTGAACAGAGATAGATGTTAACATGTTTAACATGTTTAAATTAGAGACATTGTTCATAAACTTTAAACCTTTTTATAAACTGCGGGAGTTTTCCTTGTTTGTTCTGGTCGCCGTTTACATTACACCTCAGGCCTGTGTTAGTGAGGCGTTACTACACCTGGCCGACCAGATAATTAATGTGGAGAAAAAACATCCAGACTTCCTGCTTATTGTTCTTGGAGACTTCAACAGAGCAATCAACTCAGCCTTGAACTTCCAAAGTACAGACCAGTACACTTACGCACTGGACCACTGCTACACAACATTAAGGGACGTCTATCACTCTGTTCCCCGTGCAGCCCTGGGACTCTGATCCCTGTCGGGTTCATCTTATCCCGACATACAGGCACAAATTGAAATCTGCTAAACCTGTTGTGAACCTGTGTGAGTGTGAAAAGATGGACCAACTAGTCAATGCTGGATTTACAGGTCTGCTTTGACTGCACTGACTGGAGTGTTTTTGAGGCAGTAGCCACTGACCTGGACAACCCAAAACTGACACTATGACATCTTACATCAGTTTTTATGAGGACATGCATGTTCCGACTAAAACCTCCCGCACATACAACAACCAAAAACCCTGGTTCACAGCGAAAATCAGGCAGCTTCGTCAGACCAAAGAGGAGGCCTTCAGAAGTGGTAACAGAGTCCTGTACAACCAGGCCAGGAACACTCTGACTAAAGAGATCAAAGCAGCAAAGAGGAGCTATGCTGAAAAGCTAGGAAACAGCTTCACAGCCAGCGACCCTGCATCAGTGTGGAAAGGCCTGCGCACACTCACAAACTACAGGAGACCATCCCCCAACACTGCCGGTACTCAACGACTGGCAGACAAGCTGAATGGTTTCTACTGCAGGTTTGAGAACCCCACAGTCACACCTCTCCCCCACTCCAGCTCCAACTTCAATCACCTTCCCCCACTGCATTGCTGACATCCCCCCTCTACGACCCCTCACCTACACTCATGATCTGTGAAGAGGACGTGAGCCAGCTCTTCCAAAGGCAGAAGATCAGGAAGGCTCCTGGCCCAGATGGTGTCACCATCCTCCCTCACCCATCTCACTATGCCAGCCTCCACCTGTCAGTGGATCACAGACTTCCTGACTGACAGGAGTCAGCAGGTGAGGCTGGGAAACATCACATCCAGCACCTGGACTATTAGCACTGGCGCCCCCCAGGGGTGTGTGCCCTCCCCACTGCTCTTCTCCCTCTACACCAATGACTGCACCTCAGGAGATCCATCTGTCAAACTCTTTAAGTTCGCTGACGACACAACGGTCATCGGCCTCATCCGGGACGGTGATGAGTCGGCCTACAGATGGGAGGTTGATCAGCTGGCTCTCTGGTGTGGTCAGAACAACCTGGAGCTTAACACGCTCAAAACTGTGGAGATGTGTAGATCGTGGACTTCAGGAGGTGCCCCCCCACTCTGCCCCCTATCACCATACTCAACAGCCCTGTGTCTGCCGTGGAATCCTTCAGGTTTCAGGGATCCACTATATCCCAGGACCTAAAGTGGGAGTCCAACACTGACATCATCATCAAGAAGGCCCAGCAGAAGATGTACTTCCTGCTCTAGCTCAGGAAGCTCAACCTGCCTGAGGAGCTGCTGATCCACTTCTACACAGCCATCATCCAGTCTGTCCTCTGCTCATCATCACTGTCTGGTTTAGATCTGCCACCAAAAAGGACAGGAACAGACTACAATGGACAATCAGGACTGCAGAAAAGATCATCTGTGCCAAACTGCCTTCCAATCAGGATTATTATACATTTCCAGAGTCAGGAAATGGACAAGAAACATCATTGCAGATCCATTTCACCCCAGACTCAACCTGTTCCAGCTTCTCCCCTCTGGTTGGCACTACAAAGCACTGTACGCCAAAACCAACAGAATCAGGAACAGTTTCTTCTCACAAGCCATTACTCTGATGAACAGCTGACTTGTGACTCACGGTGTCAGGAACAATTCCTGTGCAATAACCCAGTCACTCTGTCTCTAATCAGCCACCTGTTTACTGACTACCACCTATTATTTATTTATCATTCTCTCATTTTCTATTTCAGTGCTGTTCATACTGTTCATATTGTATATACTGTATACCAAATCCACCTACCTCAAGAACATAACACCTGCACATAATGCTTATTTATTCAAGCATCTTTTGCACTATGCTCCATCGCACTGTGTACATGTATACATGTATGCATGTATGTGTATGTGCACCTGTATAGCTCATCCACCTCAGACATGTACATAATAATAATGATAATTATGGTATTAATAATTTACTCCTGCATCCTTTGCACTTTACTCATTGCACTATTGTCTCAATCTGTCTATATTTTTTTGGTTTAGTGTGTATATATGTCTTCTCTATAGTGTAGTCAGTGTCTGGTTTTATTATTGTATTATTGTATAAGTAAGCACATCGTGAGCAATGTACAATCCTGAGTCAAATTCCTTGTATGTGCCGCACACCCGTACTGATGTAGTGGCATCCTGCCCCGCAGGCAGCTTGCTAGAAGACATTGCTCATCTTTTCTGACTGGAAATCTTCTGCTCTTTAGACAGCTCAGTGCTGAAGAAAAATGGGAGCCGATGGCCAGGTCTCACCGATGGAAATATACAAGGTGCGGACGTAAGGAGAGGACCACACTGTGGGTCAAGTCAAGTCAAGTCAAGTTTATTTATAAACCACATTTAAAAACAACCAGTTGACCAAAATGTTGGGCAAGTTATACAGTAGAAGACATAAAAATTAAAACCAGATAAATTAAAACAGGCCAAACAATTAATGACATACAGCAATAAGACAGTTAACAAAATAGATAAATAAAAACACAAGCGCAGGTGCCTCTAAACAGACTCAAACGCCAAATATAAAAATGTGTTTTAAGTCCATGGTGGGGGATGATCTAATAATCAGATTATTCCATTGGGATGGGCCAAGAGGGATTGGTTTCTGAAATAGTTCTGAAATATAAGATGGAGCCAGTCCATGTAATGCCTTAAAAACAATTAACAGCACCTCTCTATATTTGACTGGTAACCAGTGAAGAGCAGCCAATATTGGGGAAATATGGTCCCTCTTCCTTGTACCAGTTAACAATCTAGCAGCTGCATTTTGAACAAGCTGCAAGCGTGATAAAGATGAGTGACAGATGCCAGAGTACAAGGAATTGCAGTAATCAATTCGAGAGGACAGTTTCTAGGTCCTTTACAGAGAGAATGGATTTAAGTTTTGCTATGGTCCTTAAATGAAAAAAGCTACCTTTAACAACAGTTTATATGTTTGTCGAATTTTAATGCTGAATCAAAGATAACCCCTAAATTCCTAGCCAAGGGTTGTACATTAATGGACATTAATGATAATTCCTCAACTGAGTTAGGGGAACCAAATAATATTACTTCTGTCTTTTTCTGTCATTGTCATTTAGTTGGAGAAAGTTTATTGCCATCCAACACTTAATATAATTTAGACAGTTGTAAATGGACTGTAAGGACTTTGAATCTGTGTATCATCAGCATAGCAGTGGTATAATATATTATGTTTACAGAGAATGGAGCCCAAGGGGAGCATATAAAAAGCAAATAAGACTGGCCCCAGGATTGAACCTTGAGCTACTCCACATTTAATTGTTGCTGAAGAAGAGGAAATGTTACCAATGTTAACAGAAAAGGTTCTATCATTCAAGGAAGAGTGAAACCACTGTAGCGCAACACCCTGGATACCAACCCCTTGCTGGAGGTGATCCAGGAGGATGTCATGATCAACGGTGTCAGAAGTCGTGCTGAGGTCAAGCAAGAGTAAAATAGCACAATTTCCAGTATCACCAAACAGCAACAAATCGTACCTTAAGCAGTGCCGTTTCTGTGTTGTTATGTATAGTGAAACCTGACTGAAAGTTATCCAGCACATTGTTTTCAGCTAAAAACGAGGAGAGTCGAGAAAGAATGACCTTCTCCAATATCTTAGACATAAAAGATTATTTAGAAATGGGCCTAAAATTATTAAGATTCAGGATTGATGTTGAGGAAAAGTGTGTTTTTTGCAATAACAAAACTGGAAGCATTTGTCATTCATTTTGTGTTTGTGTCGGGCATTTCTTTAAGAACATGACTTTAGATAATTAAGAAAAAGAAACATTATTTTATGAAAAGATTTATATTCATTGTAAAGAAAAGCCTATATATTTAAACCTCTTTATATTAGCCTATATGAAAAATATTACATTCACAAATACAACATTTCAATAGCCTATAAATCATACATTATATTGAAGAATTAAATAGTCCAGAGAATTTAACAGTTAAAATGTATAAAGACTTAAACTAACTATTTTTCTTTAATGTCTTTGTTGCTTGTTACGTGATCCCCCTGTGTATCCCGTTGTGTCATGTATTATTCTGTTGTTTACTGTAGGCTATTTTGTTTCGGCTGCAGATTTTGATGACTACGATTCAATAAAATAACAGTTGTATTGTCTATTAGACAAGATAATTTTTTTAAATTAAACACAATGTTGTTTAGGCTACCTGTGAATGGTGATATGAAATGATAGTATGGTGTTTCGGAATTTTAAAAGCCCACATGTTAACTGGCGAAGTCACACGGAACACAAATTGAAAGAAAGGTCCCCCATCGTGCAGCAATGGGTGTTACACATCTTCAACAAGCCGCCATCGGGCTCACTCGACATTGGAGGGTTTAACAACCACTACCACTCCTTCATTGGTTTCGGATGGCACTCAGTGTGGCGGACACTCCGCATGAACGTGCAAACGGAGCGGAAGTAGGTTGTGAGAGGGAGTAGCAAGCAGTTTCGGAAAGGCCACCTGTGTGTACAAGTAGGCGTTCCAGTAACAACTTTAAAAACAAAGCAACATGGCTGTCATGGAGTCGAGAAGTAGCTACATTGAGCAACATGGAAAGGTAGTATATTAACAACAATAGGAACTGCATTAGATCAATTTAAATCAATGCCAGCGCCACGTCTAGTGCCTGAGTCGACATTCAAATAGCTTAAAAACAACTGGAGGTGAATTTTTCCCGGTCTATAATAAATCTATAATTTGGCCGTTACTATCGTTTGAAATACATAAAAAGAGCTGAACTGAAAATTTTGTTAAGTGTCGAGGTGGTAGAGAGTACCACGAACTTATTAGAAGCTTCTGACCAACACCTGATTTTATATACAGCCTATGGTTTTCCATCAAGCTGCAACTACTGTTTATTCTACAAATATAATGTGCGCCATCTAGTGGTTGGGGCCTCGTCATCATGACTGTAGATGTTATTGGCATACACGTGTTAATATGGAAGAACACGGCCCTAACATCTGACATGCCTTAAAACACCAAGAAACATTTGAAGCCTCAAGTTTAGACAACAAATGTGGAGAGATCAAAACACCAATTACTAAACATTCTTATTGTACTACTCCCTTTTTGTCACCAATGGTCCTTTTGTATTAAGAGTCTGGCTTGTACTATGCATGCATGCAGAACTACACTGCAATACGTTTTCAAGTTTTGAGTCATACACTATAGACAATGATGCTTCATTTGAGCAGGATGTACACACTGGATAAGCGTTCACTGTTGACCTTGGAAAGCATACAGTCTAGCTAATTATAACTTATGTCAAGTCATAGTCGCCCCAGTTATTTTGAATTCCAGGTACTTGATATTTAAAAACAACCACACTTAATTAGGGCTCCAATGCTTCATTGACACTTTTGTCACATTTGAGTAGCCACAGCTCATAAGTGTTGCCATTACAAGTGAAGGTTTAAATGCTAACTGAACACAACAAAGTATTAATTATGTGTGCAGACATTCATTTATTTTTGCAGCACACACATTTTAATGCAAACCCATAAAATAGAAATCAAAACTTATAAAGAATATATTAATTGACATAGAATTTTCTATGCCAGCTGTGATGACTGTGACCATTACATTTAACTAGCTTATTGACTTTAAATACATTCCCACACCAAACATTGAAACTGAATTTTTGTGACAAAGTGAAGTTGAAGGGCAAAAGATGAAAAGAAATTACCTTCACAAATTACAACAGCAAATAGCAGTATCTGAAAACCATTTTGATAATTTTCTTTGCACATTGCTGTTTTGGAAATTCTTGCCCCTTCTTAGAGTGATATCAGTGGCGTAGACAGCTGAACTGATCTGTGTAGGCGGACATGATGCAGAGGGAGGGACATTCTCAGAAAGGTGTAGCTTTAAAGTAGTCCTCCAGTGGAATGAGTGATATCCCTCCGATCCAGTCCTGCAGCCAGACCTGGATCAACTCCAGCTTCATGAAGAACCACTTGTGTCCCACTGGCCACTTTGCCATCACAGGATGTCTACAAAAACAAAAGCAACACATAAAGAAACATGTCATATACTGTTTTCCCTCATATCCTTCATTAGCTGAGTTACCTTGAAAACATGGCCTCCTTTGCAAATGCAAGCTCCTCTGGGGCCACCTCCACCATCTTGCCTGTTAATGTGAGTCGAGCACATCTTGGATCCTCTGGATCATACACCATTTGCCTTGACACACAGAAGATCATGTTACTATTGTAACACACACAGACAGACACAATAGGGGTTCTAGCGTTTCTGAGCCTCTCGGTAATTTCCAGTCATTTAATTCAATCAAAGTTGGATTACCAACAGCTGGCAACTGCCCCAGGGCCCAAAAAGCTCCAGGGTTACTGTGTTGGTGAAAATAAGCATCACGAAAGTACACCATCAACTGACATAAAGTCCTTGCTTTACTATTTTATCATAAAACCCAGGCTGTTTTCAGGTGGTTCATTTAAAGGCCTTCATTATTTCAGTTTTGTGCTTTGTTGCATATTCCTAAAACATTTTACCACACAGCAAACCTTGGAGCCAGAAAGTATTCCAGCAGAGAAAAACTGTACATGTGATTTGTAAAGAGTTCAGGGTAGTGCACTGAAAGTTGGGGCCTACCTGCAGAATTCTCCCTCAGCCTCTGAGAATGTGAGAGAGGCATAGGGGTTACTTTTCAGGTCTGATAATGTATTGTCCATCAGAGTCACATAAAAATAGATGACTCCCGTGCTGTTGTCCAGCGGTCCATCACTGACTGAGAAGATGTTCCCAAAGGGGAGACCTTTGATCTGTGCAAAAAAGTTGGATATTACCAAAGACATCTTGTTACAGAGAAAATTATTTGATGACATTGTAGTTTTTTTTTTCCGGATGTAAAAGCAAACAGGGATATTTGTTTGCAAACTCTTTCAAACTGCAAGACTGGTAAAGCAAATCTAATTCACAACAGTTAAATAAATAAAGACAAATATAAAATACTGATTTAAAGATATTGGTTGGTAGTTGTAGCTACCACGTCGGTGATATCCTAAATTTTGGTGAATTGACATGATTAACACATGAGTCTTTTATGCTGCATCCACTATTTTATTTAAACTCAGAGCATGTAAAGTGGCAGCAAAATTACTGAATAAATAAAAGGGCTGTGTATTTCCCACCAGAATTTTAGCTGACAGTGTGGAGAAGGCTTTGAAACAGCATTCAAACCTAATCTAGCAAATTAAACATTATAACCAAAGAGTACAATATACAAAATCCCTTTGTCAACTTTATCATTCTCACGCAATAATCCCAGTAATGCACAATTCTAACTAAATCAGCCACATAACTGAAAACATCTGTGTGCAAGACTTTAAATCTCTGACAGTGGTGGAAGATGTACTCAGATTTTTTACTTAAGTGAAAGTAGCAATACTGCAGTGTAGAACTACTATAGTATTGTTGCAGCTACAAAAGGTGGAGGTAATTTTAACAAATTATTGACTGAGACCTTATTGCACACACATTCATAATTCATTTGTTAGTTACATTTTGCAATACTAATCTGAATCTGCAAGGTAACTAGTAATTACAGCTGCATTTCAAGTCTACTTTGGAAAACAAATTAACACGTTATTTAGAATAAAATGGAAATAGGCTACCCACATAATAATGCATAATATTTTATAAGCTGATCATATGATCTATATGTAAAATAAAAGCAATTTAAGCTAAATGTAGTAGAGTAAAAAGTACAAAATTTCTCTCTAAAATGTAGTGCAGTATAAATATAAAGTTGCATGCATTACCTCAAAACTGCACTTTGAGTGTACTACTTGCTTTCCACTACTGGACCTCAGTATTTTAATGCCCTTTCTACAGCCCTGGCTCTACAGAATCAGAATCAGAAGGAGCTTTATTGCCAAGTAGTGTTTTACACATACAAGGAATTTGCTTTGGTGTTAAGGTGCTACACGCAGACAGACATACAGATGACAGAAATGTGAGAGGACCTCAGCAGTATATCATATACTACTGAGGTCCTCTCAGTGTCAGTTTTGTTCATTATGAGAAGAGTTTCTTGCTGCTTGGCTTGTCTTTTTTTAAATACTTAAACGCACAGACTGTTCACATAGTAATTAGGTTGTTCCAGTCCACAGACATGAGGATGACCACTCCTGTGGGTGTGTTACCTTGTCTTGAGTCGAAATAGTGGCCAGATGTCCCCAGTCACTGTAATGAGCTATGTATCTGGCAGTCCTCGCGGTCTCCTGGTGCGGTGGAGGACCGCTGCTGCTCATCTTCTCCAGCCGATATGAAAACAGGCGAGAGGAAAGCTGCGCCACACTGTCGCTCTCTGGCTTGCCTAGCTCTCCGGGGCTCTCCATGCTGTCTCCGAGGACGTTGGAGGACGGGTAAGCCTGCTTCCACAGCCCCGCATTGTCCACAAGCAACGCCGGGGCGACCTCCGAGGACAGGTCCGCTTCCTCCACCACATCGTTGGAGGAGACGACCCAGGACACCGAACTCCTCAAAGTGTAGCTTCGACACAGACACAGGACACTGGCGAGCACTGCCAGGGGAAAGTAACGGGCCCTCATATCATTGAGCTGGGAGAATGGCCGTCCACATCCACTCTCTTGTTTACAACCTCACGTGTGTGCTTTCGTAACACGAGGAGATTTTGCAAGGGAGCGCAGGCGTACAGCGACCTCTACTGACAAATACATGTTTTAATCAATCTCGTTTTTCAGAGTAATAGAAAAAATATGGGGCTAGAACAGTGACATAAAATTTCGCCATCGAAGATAAAAAATTTGGCATTGAAAACAAATCCAGAATTGAAAAAGGAAATTGAAATATCTGAATTGGAAAAAATTGTATTGGCACTGAAACAAGTGTAACAAAGTTTCACTGAAAATTACGAAAGCCCTAAGCGGCCATCGATTCATATCTTTATCCAATCCAATCCATTTTATTTATATAACACATTTAAAAAACAAAGGTTTACAAAGTGCTGAACAAGAAATAAAACATAAAAACTCATATGAAACAACAAGACTACACAGCTCTCATGCTGGGTTAAAAGCCAGGGAATACAAGTGGGTTTTAAGACGGGATTTAAAACATTCGAGGGTCAAGGCCAATTTGACCTGTGGAGGTAGATCATTCCACAGTTTTGGGGCTTGCTGCCGAAAAAGCACGGTCGCCCCTGGTTTTTAACCTGGTTTTTGGAGCGACGAGCCTCGAAGTTGGTCAGTAGACCTAAGTGACCGTGGGGGGGGGTGTAGACTTGTAAGAGGTCTGAGATGTAGTGAGGTGCCAACCCGTTCAGTGACTTAAAAACAAACAATAATATCTTAAAATGTATTCTAAAATGGACCGGGAGCCAGTGAAGCAAGGCCAGCACTGGTGTAATGTGTTCATGCTTGCGAGTTCCAGTTAAAAGACGATCAGCCGAGTTTTGTACTAACTGTAAGCGTGAGAGAGTGGTTTGGTTAACTCCAATGTAAAGTGCATTACAGTAGTCCAGATGAGTTGCGATAAAAGCATGAATCACATGTTCAAAGTGCTTACGAGATAAAACACTCCCGTGATAACGGGATAATTATCTTATGTTCTCGAGATAACGACTGTGGTTTTCTCGTGATCTCGAGATAACTAAACAGTAGTTTACACTGTTAACACATGGGTTGGCAAGAACGTTTGTTAATGGTAATTTCACAGACCTTCCAGTGTCACTGATTAGCTCAGTTTGTAAGGCACAGGACTCACAGTCACTCAAGATTGTGACTTTGATCCTCATAGGAGACTCATTTAAAAAAAATTCTTTTTCATATTTATCTCCAACAAAGTTGTTATGAAGATGATTCACATACTCACAATTAAGCACGTGCTGGAGTGTGCGCCTCCCAGCGATTGGTCCACATTCATCAACCTATGGACTTTTCATTTCCCCATCATTCCCAGGCAGAGGAAATTCATCCACTTCTCATTCAGCGGAATCCATTTAACTACACATTTGCTGACGGCTATCAAAACCTTTGAAATAGCCGTCAGGAAATCTGGATTCTTCATAACAACTTTGTTGAAGAAAATGATTAAAAACACAAAGAAAAATAAAAGAGCTTGCTGAAAGTGGAATTTGAACCTGCAATTCTTAGGATACAAGTCCTGGGATCTACCGACTGAACTAACTACTGTTTCTGCAAATTATCATAAAGAAAGGCACCAGCCGACCCCTGTATTCAGCTATGGCTTGTTAATTTCTTGTGATCTTTATCCCGTTATCATGGGAAAACGGAATAAAAAAGTATTTAAATCGATGGCGGTTTAGGGCTTCTTTAGAAAATAAAACAGATGCATCAAAAATTATTTATCCAAGGTTAAAATGAAGGGCAACTGGACTGTGTTTTTGGTTGCTGTTTCGTCCCTTATCCAAAGGACTTCTTCAGTTCAGAACTGCCCCTTTACACGGCCCCAGTTACTTTGGACTCCCTTGTTACTTTCAGTAACAGTTACACCTCGTTGTCGCAAAATAATCTCTGGTGTGGTTCTTCTTTCGCTAAATCTTCTGCAACTGAGTTGACAATCTGCTTCCTGTGCGCTCGCATGAATGGCCACTTCAGGTGCATTTTCAGTCATTTTAATATAGACAACAACAACCGACTACCTGCTCTTGATGCACACTTTCCACATAAGGTCTTGATGAAATGCTACAATAATATTTAGGTCTTGTTCTACATTCACTCTTTATTGTCTCATCAAAACTATAGTTAAACAGTTGTTTTAGTAAAACATTTTATATTTTGACAGATCAGGTCTGATATTGTTGAAGGAATATTAATTCATTCACTGTATATTTTAATTTAGTCATTTAATATCTTCTCCTTAGCCATCTTACATTAAGGCACAAATGACACAAAAACTCAACATTAGAAAGTGTATTATTTAGCAAACTATTAACAGCAGTGACACGGTGAATCAAATAAAACATTATTCAGAAATAACACTTATCTTGAAGTGCTTGTAGTGCAGAGGGATTACAATTAATTTGGGCCTTTTAGATATATATACTCTCTCTCTTTCTTTCTGTCTATTGTATGTTCATATTGTTGTGTCAACACTGTCTGTCTGTCTGTTTTCCCTCTCAGTCCATGGACTTATCACTCCAGGCCATTGATTTTCTTTTTGCTAGTTCCATCCAGGACGGCTGGCTGCTGTCAGACATGGACTGCAACGGTGATGGCATTGTAGGTGACGATGAGGGCGATGAAGATGATGTCACATTTTTCCGCAGCCATTTGTCCTCACGAGGCCTGTCTGGCACTTTGTAGGGACTTGACTCTGAAAAAAAAACTGTGTCATGTTGCTGCACATGGATTTACTGATTACCAATTTAGTATTTCTACAGTTATATAGTAATTATAATGAATGTGTCTCAACACACCTGCAGGTTTTACTCCTTGTCTTCCCTCTGGTTTTGTGTCTTTGCTTAGAGGTGTGGTTTTGGCTGAGGCAGGCGATTCACCGGATGTATGCGCTTCTGTTTGAGCTTTCTTCAATTCCACCTGTGAAAAACTGTGAGTTAGATCATCTGCTTAGCATAAGTTGTCAGTCTAAAAATAGTAGCTGTAGAATAAAGAACAAGGAATGTTTCCTACTAACAAGAATTTTCTGTGTTGCCAAAGTCTGATATAATTTGTTTAAACCAGCTGTGAGCTACAGCATTGCACTGGCTGGCATGTTCCTTCACTGAGATGAACATGGGCACTGTAGTTTATTAACTCCACACACAACATCCTGCTATTGTAAATATCCACTCGCACAAGTGTGCACACCAAATGCACTATTTACTTCTGTTTGAACAAACCATAGTGTTGCCCACCATTTCTTTGGAAATTACGGAGCCTTTTTACACAATAATATCGTGACCAGATTTTAAGATATATGTCCTCAAAAGTAGCAAACTGAGTGCCTTACACAGGGTATGGAAGTCATAAAGTATTGAGAGATTTACAGTCAAACGTGGTATGAAAGACAAAGAAGTACCACAAACCCCCTTGGTTCCAGGTGGAGCGGTCCACTCCGCCCGTTTCTCCAAAAAAGCTGCCTTCTCGCTTATTGACCCGGCCCAGACTGCCCGTCTTCCAGACAGTGATGCACCCTCTTTTTCCTGCATGATGGCCTCTCTTTCCCCTCTTCCCAAGGCAGAAACTGGAGGAGGAGCTGTGGCTGATGAGGGGCTAGAAACGGAAGTTGTGGATTTGAGCTGGTTGGTGGGGTGAAGACCTCGATTGCTCCAGGGGGGCTGCTGCTGGCCCGAGGAAAGGTAAGACTGTGCAAGAGACTGTGTGACACTCCCTTGTGCAAACTGAGATGAAATCTCTGTTTGTGGATACGAGTGCATGGGCGACTGGATTGTCCGTGCATTGGTCTGTACAGACGTAGACTGAGCTGTATTTGGGATTGACTGGGGTTCATTGCTTTCTTTTGATGTTTGTGCTTCTCTAGAGGTGTTAGACTGAACAGGAGATGCCATTGACATCTTCTGTTGCACCCCCATTAGTGATGGTTTGAAAGTCTGTGCTTGACTTCTACTTGGCACTGTTTCGGCTTTGGCTGCATCAGTTGATGGTTGATTTGCAGCCTCTAGTGGTGTTGCACTTTGCTGTACTTTTACAGTCTGCGTCTGTGTTTGTTCCCCAGTAGTTGCATCTGTTTGATTTGTTGTCTGTGCTTGTGGTCGAGCCGCTGTCTGCCCGCCTGTAAAATCTCTGGGAAATCTACTAGTAAAAAGCTGTTGGAGGCTTCTGGTCTTTTCCATTGCCAAGCTCATCCAGGACACCTCAGATGACGACGTTTGGGGGTCAGACTTGGGCTCCTGAGGTGCAGCGAGGGAAGTTTCAACCTCTTTGGGTTTTGAGGAGTTTGTTTGGACTTCTGTTGGCATGATGTGGGGATCACCAGTAGATGGCGGATTATTCTTAACTGGAAGGGAGAGGCCACATGGGGTTGGATCTGAGAAGTGACACAGTTCAGTTAGACACACTTGGCAGCACTGTTAAAGTTAGCCTGAGTGGTATTTTAAAGTACAAAGGTCCCCTGTGATCAGTGAAAATCTTATCACTCTAGAGTGATCATTTACTATGTGAAAGCTACAGCGTGTATCTGTGAAATGTTTAACCCAGTAAGGAACCGGAAAAAAGATAGTCGCACAGTATGGAGAGAAAAAAAGAGGAACCTGAGATTAAACATCTTCTGCATGGTGAAATTAAGAAGATTTTTCAGAGACTCACCAGTCAGTTGGACGTCTGCAGATGTTGACGGTGTACACGAGATGTTTGACAGTATTTTAGACATGTAGCTGGCATTATCACTTATTTCCTGTCTTTTTTGTTTGTCACTTGGCCCCTCACACACTGGTGGCTTTGAGTTATGGTTAGAAGAGGCATCAGACCGAAATCTCACCGACTGAGATGTGGAGCGCAGTTTAATACCAAACGCTGTCTTTGATTCTTCTCCCTCCTCGGCCTCCTGTGCTTCCATTGCCTCCTCCACCACCTCCTGTCTGCTCTCGACCTCCTCCCCCTCTAAAGTGTCTGCGGTTATATTTTTAGATGGTGCGACTGCCTCCACCTTTTTGAGGCTGTCCCTCCT